CGCTGCTCCGTTTCAGGAGGCCTGCCCACGTGCCACGTGTGCGGCGCCTCGTACGTGCACCGGCGCAACCTGACGGAGCACATGAAAAAGCACGCCGGCCGCACCACGTGCCCCGTCTGCCATCAGCTGCTCGGCATGACGTCCAACATGCGCCGGCACATGGTGACGCGTCACGGCCTCACTCAGGACCAGGTGGACCGCATGACCAACAAGAGGCGGCAGTTTGCGTCTGAGCCGCGCGTCGTCGGGGGAGTGCTGACCTCGACGCCGGAGACGGGACCGTCGTGAGCTCGCGTGGGTTGGGCAGGTCGACGGCTTGGTCCCGTGACGCGGGCGTGTGTGCGACGTGTTGTGTGGGTGATGGCAGCTCGCACGATTTTCGGTGATGTAGCGCTCCTAGATGGCGTCGGGGGTGCAGCGATGCTGTGTGGCAGAGTGCAGGAGTTCCGTTGATGTGGGGCTGGCAGATCTCGTGGAAAGCGGCAGGGCTTAGCCTGATGCCTTCATGCAGTCTGCCGCTCAAGGGGCCAGGTCAGCGAAGACCTGCGATCGTGACTGATGTTGGCGTCGCCGGTGACGCGGACCGACAGAACGTATCCTCGGTGGCCTGTGCAGAGACATGCTACCAACAGCGCGCGTCCGCGGCGGACTGCACCAGTGGCACGCTTCGCGGCACCGACTGATTGTGCGTTAGGGGTTATCAGTGGTTCGGTCAGGTGGCCCCGAGTCGGGCCCCGAGTCGGGGCCCGGCTCGGGCGATGTGTGATTTTGCGGTTCAGGGTATCGTGGATCATGAGATGATGGAGGCAAGTCACATCGTCGGCTGTGTTTCAGCTTGTCTCGCCACAATCAGCGTGAAGGACTGTTATGCTACTGACCTCGGCAGCTGCGTGCTGACCTGACCGTGCTGATCGTGCTGACCTGTTATGCTACTGAGCTCGGCAGTCGCGTGCTGACCTTGACCAGACCACTGTGCGTTAACTCACGATAAGCGAACACTGAGCTGTTGCACCAGCATATGGGCTGCCTACTACCTCGTGGTGGTGTGCGATTGCGAAGGTAATGGCAGATGTCTGACGGTGGTTATTCATGGTGAGGGGAGTCGGCGAGCAGGTGCTGTTGGGATGCTGCGGTCGCGTCCGCGCCCGAGTTGACCGGCTAGTGGACACATTCGGAGGGTCGTTTGGCGGTCCCTTCAAGCAGCAGCTCGAGGATGCCTTTGCCTGCGTGAGTTATTTAGAAAGCGTATGCACGTGGATGCCTGCGCCATCTCCGTTGCTGTATTGCCTTGGTAGCTTGCTTCCCCAGGCATGGTGGCCTGTTGTCATGTTTGACACGCTGACGGATTTTTGTTGACGTCAAGGGCTGACGGACGTCCAGCGGTGCGGTTAAGGATGTTTTTTATGATCACCAGCGAAGCAGTGGGATGCCAGAGCCTTGCAGAAACGTAGAAGGATGTGTGCAGGTGGTGTTTGGGCGAGGCAAATTCTTGTTCAGGAGCCTCGCGCTAGGTTGGAAAGATGGGATCCTGCCGATGATGGCTATTTTTCTGTTTTCCCGTTGGGTCAGGAAAGCACATGTAATTTAGGTTTTGCATTTGCGTTGGTCCTTCCTAGTTTTACCCTGTTGTTTCGTATTGTAATAAAATGTGTAAATGAAACAATAGGCCCGCACCGGCTTTCTTTCAACCATTACCAGTAGTGTTTTAGGTAGACTGGCTACTGGATCGCATTTAGTGAGTTGACCACGATCACAGAGTGATTTTAAACGTTTCGCGCTCATCGTGGCCGAGGCATCGGACTGACCTTTGCCGAGGTGTGAGACGCCGAACTCCGGTCCGGGATTCCACGATGTAAGGGTTCGGTATGCACCACTGACCGCTCGAAACACTCGTAGTCTGGTAAAAAGATAAGCATCGCTTTCCTTTCCAGTAACTGACGAGCAGCCGCGTCTTCGCGTCTTCTATCCCACTTCGCGTCTTCTCCAGGTGCCAAAGTAATTGGTATGCTGCACTAAGACCTGTTTTGTCTTCCGCTGAAGACAAAACAATTATGACAAGACAAAACAAAAAAAAAGACAAATTATGTTTTTTCTTTTTTGCTGGTTTTGTCTTCCGCAGAAGTGTGGCATCGACAATAAAAAATACCAATTGACGCTCTTTCCTTAACTATAAACGCATCTCTGACTGTTTGTTTGGCTGATGGTCTCAGGCCACGTTTAACGAATTGCATTTGTTTATTGTCGGCCTTATCACTTTGATTTGGCACTTTGAATTCTGATTTTTTTTTAAGTAAAAAAAAACAACACGTAAAATTTATCCAATCTTTGTTTTAAAACTTATGATCGATTGAGATGCCACCGCCAGATGTTACGCATTTTCCAAAAGCAGCCTCATCATAACATCCGTGTCCACACATATGATGGATTTTATGAATGATACGAGTTATGGTCCTGTCAGGTGGCGTCATTTCATCACAAGCTGTTTAAGTTGTCAAGCCTAGCAGGGTTTCTCAGGGCAAAAGGGTAACGAAAAGGATATTTCAGAATGACTCGATGTGGAAAATGAAAGTTGAAAGCAATTCATTTGTTACGATTGGAAAACAAGTCATTTGTTACGTTTTTGGTGATTTGACTGGGTTGCGGAATGCGGCTGTTGAGGCGCTCTGACTACTTCACTGCGCGGCTAGCCACACCGTCTTCGAAACCGCCAATTCAGTGCAGCTCATAGCAATGCCCTTTTCAAGTGTTGAGTTCATTCGAGTCGCCCTCAAAACCGTTGGTTCAGTGCGGTTCACGGCCATGCCCTTTTTAAGACCCAAAACCCTCTATTTTCTTAGTTTGACGCCCGGAAACTTTGCGTGGCGATGAAGAAACGTCACACGAATACTGCTGCTGCATTGGTCATGTGGTGTCTAGGTCATGTCATGTCTAGGTCATGTGGTCATGTGGTGACAATTATCATCATCGAGTTATTCGTGCTTGGCGTCCGTCAGCACAGCTTTAGGCATCAACGGACTTCAATTGGCTTTCAAGCCGTATAATGCGTTCAGCACAAGCGGACACGTGATAGTTGGTTTTTCAAGACGCCATTGTAGTCATTCTATACAAGGCAATGTTTTCAGCCCTTACTAATTTTCCAACGTGCGCGGTGCTCACCTCCCGGCGTCTACAAATCTTGCCTGGTTTCTTTACTCAGTCTTTGCCATAGCTCATCGCGGGATGACTGCGATTTCTTCGCCGTGTCTAATTACGTTATTAAGGTGTTAGCCGTATTATCTTGATGACACATGTATGTTGTTACATAAACTCTTCTCAACTTGACCCCTGATATTGTAGTCTCGCACAAATTTGGACGCACTCCCAAATCCGCAATTTTCATCAATACGTGTGGATTCCTTAACGAGCAAGCATTAATGTCTACATTTGCGGATTGGCACGGTCGACGCGCTAACAAGATACGTGCCGGAAAGTGTACTGCATTCCACCTATATCACACCAATGAACTGATAAGATCAGTGGCGCACAGGACTCCTGCTCCCTTTGCCACCCGGATCTCCCCATATGCAAGTCACAACCCGCCGTCCCGTAACTGGACGCTGACACGCGGATAAGACTTGGATAAGACATAAGACATGGATAAGACATGGCCGGGGCGGCGCGGGCGCACAGTCACCTCGGGTTAGCGCTGCGCCCACAGTATAACCTAAAGTGTATAACCGCCCACAGTATAACGTAAAGTGCAAAAAGGCGTAACTGGCGTAAGAATGCGCAACTTTTCTCTTCAGATCCATGATTCAGGCATACTGGGGTGTCGCTGAGGGCAAAAAAGGATTACGTGCCACGTCGTAGCTCTGCAGTTCGCACAAGAGGGTTTTTTGTATATGCTCACTTTGCCGTATCGTTATTTAACATGATTTGTTCAGCGCAGTTGCGAGGAATATTACGCAGTCATAAGGACAGTGATGATGGCTTTATTCGTGATCGAATAGCTAGGAGAATACTTGTTTTCTCTGCTTAGTTTTAACGGATTTGAACGGATGCCTAGATTGGAATGGCCTAAGTACTGCTCTCGTGTCTTGCATAAAATGATTCCACAATTTTTGGTTGCAATCCATTGCACGGACTTACGCAAGCGGATGAACCAGGAAATCCCGTGAAATTCACACTAGTATGGCATGCTTGTTATGTTTGGACATAAGCAACCAAAGAGCGCCGCCAAAAAAGCTACTGATGTTCGTTCCAGCCTGAAAGCCAATTCTCAACGTCACCGCATTGATGACTTTGGATGTCACAAATAGGATGACTCGTGACTGTTTTGTATCCGAATTCCGTGGACGGCGGAGAAGCATTCCAAGACAAATGGCCGTCAGTTAGCTTCCATGAGTAGTATAGGTATGGCGAGGCTGGCAACGTCGTGGTGAGTGACAATTCTTTGATACGCTAGAAACGTTTATCATTTCTGGCTAAGGACCAAAGTCGTCTTTATCTTCGGATCTGGCGCGAGAGGGTCGCGTTGGCGGTGCCTCGTGCTTTCATACCTGAATGGTTCGGTTGTTAACGACAGAAACGCATGCCACAGCACCATGTGGCACGATATTTCGCCGGTGCTTATTTCAATTGGCGTAGTGGTTGCGTCCGCCTGTGAGCCATGTCAGAACATCACATAATGCGCGATGGTACAGAGGCAGTTTGCCTGTTTCCATGGGCGTGCGACGTCATAGTCGCAGCTTACGCTGACCTGTTGGAGCCTATTGCAAAGCGCCCAACGCTGTGCTGGACTCAATCCTGCCTGCCTCAGCTCCCGAACTTTCCGTGCCTTCCCGTCACCCTCTTGTTGGACGCGCGCGGCGCGTGGCGCGGCGCTACCGTGGCTTGGACTGTCAGCGACTGCCCCAGTCGTCTTAGCTTCCAGCGACCGTGGCTTCCCCGTGAATCGAACTCGGACCGTTCGCTTAGAGTTCCGCTGCTGCCAACTCTGCTAACGTGCCGCACTGTTGCAGGCGCGGTGCACCGGTGCGACGTGTGCGGCAACGTGTACAAGTACCGCGACTCACTGCGCCACCACCGCAAGAAGCACCTGGGCCTCACCACGTGCCCGCTGTGCGGCAAGGTGTGCAGCATCGTGGCGGACCTGCGCCGCCACTTGGAGCTGTCACACGACCTGACCGGCGACCAGGTGCGCCGCATCGTGCCCACCAAGAGCAAGGAGCGGCCGACGCCGGCCGCCAGCGGTCAGCCGCCGCCGCTGGGCGAGGCGGACGGCTGGTGACTGGCGGGCTCGCCCGGTGCCTTTTGAGGCGTTCCCTCGACACCGGACGGGGTGCTCCACCTGGTGACATAGGGGATGTCTCGTATGCTGTCTGACAGGGCGAGTGTGGGAGAGAGAAGAAAAGAGAGAGTGAAGCTCGATGACTGGCGAGTGGTCGACTTCGAGGGGTCAGTCTGGGTGTGCGAACATTTGTGCCGACCGCCGGTGTCGATGCCACGCGTTTGGATGCGTAAGGGAAGCGCCAACGAGCCAGCTTGCGTTGCGACCTGGAAACGTGGCCGCGTTCCAAAGATGGGCCGTCCATTCCAGACGCTTTTTCGTTCTGCTGTGGAATAGCACGACTTGCGACTGCCAGCACTAAGTGAACATCAGTTGCGAGCTGATTCCGGTGTGGTCTGGAGCCAGCTTTGTTGACAAGCAGCAAGATTCGTGAAACGGGCGATGCGCCCTGTGTGTCGGAAACAAAGTGGGATGGTGATGGAAACGTAATGACGCGTCGTTTGGTCTGAACTGGGTCTGCGCTCTTGAATGACTGACCGGTGTGAAGTTGTCTTTGAAACCGCATCGAGTTGGTTGGCAATGTTTCGCAGGGAGTCGAGGCCTCGGAGTCGTGAGCTGTCTTGTGTGTCAGTCATGTTTATATCACTGTTAAGTGTGCTGCCGCGAACTTTTCGACCATGTTCCATCTCATTTGTTGAACGGGCTGCACCATCGCACCCCTCATCACATCATGATCCTCCACCCCCCACCCCTTTGGTTGAACTTCCTCAGCCAGCAACAGGCACGGCTAGCCTTGTAGGTATCCCGTCGCGGAATGCTTTATGAAGCTGTGGACGCATGGTAAACCGAATTTCCATCCTTTTTGTTATAGTCCCGAACGATCAGAACATGCTGACTGTACTCTGGAAGTGGGGCATCGCCTTGTTGTGTGGTTGTCAATAAATTGTGAATATGCACTTCATGTGGAAATTGACAGTGGTGTTCGTGTGGTTGAAATTAGTGTACATACTCTCGCGCACTCGCGCGCCGACAGCGCCGCTGGTGTCGGAGGACGCTGACGTGGAGCGAGCAATGCCGGGCCTGGCGCGGGTCCTCGAAAAACCACATCAACGTATTGTGTATGCATGTACGTTTGCGTATTTACAACAGCAAGCGCCGATGTATGTCCTTATACCGAACGATGCACCACAGCCCAGCGCGCTTGCGCCACCATGCTCAGGCTTGTTTGGCAGGGTTTTTCTACAATACAAATGTTCAACAGCTTTTCACAGGGCATACCTGCATTGTAAGAAAGTGACATATGTTATGCTCGACATTTTCTTGACTTTAACCGGCATCGCTTTTCAAGCATCCACGCGATGGCATAGGTTTGAATTTTGCCGTATTGATATCTTGAAACCCACGTCCGGAAATATGTTGACAGCCGTAGCAAGCGTGACACACTGAGCTACCCCGTTTGAATTCGCGATGCTGAACATGGGATCAGAAAGGGTCAGATATCGTGGCGGAAGTGACCAAAGATCGTGGCGACGAGAAGGACCCGCCCACTTGTCTGCCAGGCACGCATTTTCTCGCATCTGTGCGTTGCACACCGCCCTCCCATCCCGCACGGCATTTCACTCACGGTTCGTGGTAACGCTATGTTGGGATTGACCACACTGATCACCCCGACTTGCTACTGACATGGTCTCATCGCAACCTGCACCCCCGAGGCAGTGTTTGATTTCAAGCCCTGCCCATGTGTTTTTGTCCATCTGCTACCGTCTTTCGCACTGCTGGTGGCTAATGCTCCCTCCTTTGACAGGCGGCATGAGTTGCAAGATCTGTGGCAAGTGGTACGGTCACGAGAAGTCTCTGTCCCTTCACATGAAGGTGCACGAAGGCCTGACGGTATGCGTTGTCTGCGGCAAGGTCTCCAGCAAGGTGGCCGACTTGAGGAAGCATCTCAAGATGGTACACAAGCTACCACAGGAGGACATCGATCAGATTGTGCCGAAACGAATGCAGCGAGGACTGTACGCAGGGGAGCAGTCTTAACCAGGATCCGACGAAACTGCTACGCGATGCCCGACAATGTGTGCGATGAGGGTCCACGCCGCAGAGGTGGAAGGAGGTGGTGCGTGGCATCGTGGCCGGGGTACGACTGCGTTCTACTCTGCGCTGTGCTCTGTGCTCTGTTACGTGCTCAGGTGTACTCTGTTGTGCCTGTGGAAACACACGCTCTTGATCAGAACGCGCGCGGGTCTTCAGACTTCACGTGATGCCCTTAGCTGTTTCTGCAGTACATCGTAATGTGGGACGAGTTCGGTATGACCCTAGGTGCCTGCGATGATCGCTGCGGCGTTTCGATGGGTTGACCAAGTGGAGACATGAAGCCTACGTGCGCGTCCATTTGGGCCAGGTTCCAGGGCACCATGGACGCACTCGTTGGGTACTCTGTTAGACACGCATCACAGGCGGCACCGGTGAGGAAATCAGGAAATGTTGTAATAAATGTGATGCATGTCCAGTTATGGGCACTTGCACTATGGTTGCGTCGTTTGTTAACATCACACAGAGTTTGCGCGTAAGAATACATCAAGGTGTGTTGTTCGCTTTTTTGCACAAACTTCTTGGACAGCTGCTGGACTTTGGGTAAACTCGCGCTGCAAACACAGGTTTCGTTTTGAGTTAACGGCATTTTGTGTTTAGTGTCTAGTGTCTGGACGCTCGGATTGGTGAGCTTCACTTTTCACTTGAAAGGTATGTTTAAAGGAACAAGATGTTCGCGCTTCATAGGTAATTGTCGCCGCCGCGGTACGTTCCGCTTCACCATCCATGCTTCTCTTTCAAAAAGTCATTCTCTCACATACTTGTTGACTCCTTGACGTGATCGAGCGCTTAAGGCGGAAACGACTGCCCTCCCAAGATCTGATGTCAACTCTGGAGCTGCAGACCCTCCCAATACAGCCGAAACCACCACACACCCTTCACACAGAGACAACAGGCCATAATGGCGATACGCTCCCCCCCCCCCCCCCCCCTCTCCTTAAGGACCAGTCGGGGACGGCGGCTAAAGCAGCCGAGAAAAGATCGCCAACGCCGTGGTCAGGCAGTTTTGAGGACAGCGTCAAAATCTGTGTTCGGAGCGTGCGACTCATGAGAGACGCCCCGAATAAACGGTCACGTCTCGAGACCCAACGTGTCTGCTCTAACATGCTCGACCGGGCGGCGACCTGTCTAACATCCTGGCTCTCGTGGTCTGCAGTCGTTCTGGTAGGTCACTTTGACCCAAATGAGAAAAATGTGCTGGCGTTGGGGGCCAAAAACTCAGGAAGCGGACTAAGCTCGGCGCAATTACACAGATTCTGAAGTCCTAGGAAGTTGTCTGGATTGACTACCCTGTAAGACAAAAGGACTGCAAACAAATTCACTCAGCTTGCATTTATGCTGGTCCATTACTGTCTAGTCTAAAACGTGATGCGTATTGAACCCTAACGCCGCCACTTGTCCGCATTTGCAGCGAAGCACATCTGCCCGCTGTGTGGAAAGACGTACTCGAGCCGTCTCTCACTGGACCTGCACCGCAAGGTCCACTTCGGCCTCACCACCTGCGCGCTGTGCAGCAAGACCTGCAGCCGGGTGAGCGTGCTGCGCAAGCACCTCTCTACTGTGCACCGGCTGGACGAGGAGACGATTCTCAAGATGGCGCCGCGCAACAGGAAGATCGTGCGGCGATGAACGGCGCATGCGCGGAGCGGCGCGTGCGCATGCGCTGGAGATTTGATTGGGGATTTGTGTGCGTGTTTAAGGTTACGCGGAGGAAGCGTGCGCACCACCGATGTGAGCTTAACGTCTTTGAGAAGAAGAAAATATTGCGCGGACGTGCATACCCATGACCGTGCCCATAGTGGTGAAATGGGCTAAAGACTCTTGCGTGCACACTGTGCATATGGACAGACTCAGACAGAAACCTGTCTGTGTGGATGCGACAGGACATGCGACCGTAAGAAGGACGACTGCGTGAGTAATAGATGGTGCGTACGCGTTTTCCGTGCTGTGCTGCTTGGAATGTGGTCATATTTACAGCTCAAACGCAACCTTTGGTGAATTTGGCTGACGGTGCAGCCTAGCGCCATCCTCCACCCAATCAGCAAAGGCCCAGTGCCTTTCCTGATTCATTGGAGTGCGTTATGCGAGGAGCATTGCGATTCCCTTCTGGAGTGGTGCTTTTTTAATGTCAAAGACTCATCCCATGGATTTCGTCGGTCTCGTTTAGAAACTACGTTCGTGTTACTGTGTTCGTCTGTTGTACCTCGTCCATTCGATATTTTTGTCACCAGCGCCTGTGCCATTTTTATAATATAGTAGCATTGCAGCACACCTGGTGTGGCGTTTGCTCTTCTTTTCACGGTCATGTGAGTTCATGCATGATACCAACATGTCGACCAAGCATGTCTTGATGGACTGTTTCCCGCAGCGTCTGTTATGTGGGCAGGGCATTTTATTGCAAGAGCAACAGCAAGAGCGAAGAGTACTACATTAAGATACATTCGCAAAAAGTTTGAAAGATGCTTCTGATACCGGTAAAGGCCATCCAGTTGCAGGAAGCACAAACTTCCCCTGTTCAAGGCAGTGAAGAAATGCCATTTGAGCCGCTGGTTCTCGGAGTTCTTAAAGGATTAAGCTTGTACACCGGGGCTCATTGCGGTATGTTGATACGCTGGCTCACTTCCCACGCGCTGAAGCGAGGCTTAGCGACGTGCGACGAAATACACCTGAAAATTACAAGTCGAGCGCGGATTTGCTCACTGAGTCAACGGCACTGCAGATTCGAGACGTAAATGAACTTCACAGATGAGCTGTCACCACAACACAAACAATGCCTCTGTTTGGCAACGACAGTATTGTTGGTCTTGGTGAACATATTCACGTCGACTGGGACTCGCACGCACCCGACTGGTGGTGTCGGACTCGTCTCCACCTAAAACGGGTTCACTTGGCATTTGGGCTCCGTCAGATGCAGGTAAATAAGATATCCACGTGCGCAATCAATCAAACGTTTTCTGTGATCAAGCCTTCAAGCAATTCAGCAGCCGGACGGTACTTTTATGAGCGCTTCTATGAGAGGTTAACTGACATCCATAGCGAAACTCTGGACAGACATTGGTCCATTTTCCGATTGTTGAACTTTGTACCGAGCCTTGCGCGAGTATTTCCTCTGTAAGGTGGATCATGTATGAGATACAACGGTTCAATATCAATAATCAGGAGTACTTTTTCAGTGCCTGGGGCACATGATTAGGTACCCGAACCCACCCAAGCTCACATTGTTTTATTTTATGCTAAAATGTTTTAGTCATGCTTTGGCCATTGGACTTAGCCATGGATAGGCGTTTACAAACATGACCAACGGGCGGGGTAGGGCGGAGGTAGGGAGGGATACCCTGGAAAAGACGGAAAGGCCCAGTTTCATCCCTAATATCCCGACATCCCCATCCCCTAACTGGTAATTTGCCGTGTCCGCAGCGTTGTTCAGCTGTGACAACTGCGAGAAGACATATTCAAGTTACGTGTCGCTGCACATGCACCAGAAGGTGCACACCGGATTGACCACGTGCGCGCTATGTGGAAAAACGAGCAGTCGCGTCAGTGACCTGCGCAGACACCTGCACTACGTGCACAGGCTTGGTGATGACGCGATTCAGACGATGGCACCGGGCAGCAGAAAATTGTTGCGCCGCTGAACGGCGCATGCGCCGACAGAAGACGCGTGGAGTTCCAGTTTGTTCAGGGTTGACACGGGCCAGACCCACGCGTGGTCTCGAGTGTGGATGACTCGTTTCTGGGGAGGACGGAGAAAATTGTTTCTCGCTGACGTAGCCGGCGTCCATGTGAGTTCGTTGTGCGTTTGCTGTTCTTTCGCTGTTGCTTCGTGAATCTTGCTGAATTCAAACCAGGAAAATGGTGTTTTGATATGCATGCTGTCACGATGTTGAATCTGGTGCATCAGTGTATCAGTACATTATGCCAGCGGGTATCTAACGATGATTTAACGCATTAAACGATGGATTTTGAAAATATACGTTATATTCCAGTTCCTTGTGCAAATATACACCTTATGCTGACGATTTTGACAACGGCTCCATGCACCTTGTCGTTTCAGGAATCCGTGCTAAGGCACGGACGTATCTCTTCGCTTAACACGCGTCCGAGTGGCCGGTTGAATGCCCTTTGCTCAGGTGGGGTCAATTTGACCCCGCTGAGATCTTGAAAACTAACATAGCTAAATACATCAAATTTACAGGGTGCACTGGCCTGCACGTGAACTCTGTTGTGTTAAAGTTTGGGGTTCCGGGGTCATGGCTTTGGGGTCGAATAACGTCAAACACAGTCCAACTCCAGATTGGTGTCTCGTGCCCCCGGATCTCCTCATACAACCGCCGTGGTGCTAGAAACCTGTTCTAAGCAAAGGATCAGTGAGATAGAGACCTTTTACTGTTATGTCAAATAAGGTCAATATATAAGGTCAGAGGGACCAAATACCTGCGAGTTTGCCTCTGTGTTGTCTGAGCGTCTGTGGTTACACCAGGTGTTGTGTTCCTAAAATATATATATTGGCCTGGGTCATTTTAGGTTAGTGACCTACGTTGTCTTTTTAAAAGCCCATAGGAGATGTCTGTTGCGGTCCCTGTAGTGAATAAATTTAAAATTAGCACTAGAAACTACCCCATAAAGTCAAGCTCTCCAGTGAAAAGGCAGATAGTTTTGACCTCGTTCTGGTCTTCATACCTGACCCTAGGTCAATGGAATTGGTTTTAATTCTAAATGTAATAGGTGCATTGCCTAAGAGACCATCTTAGACATGCATTGGTTCGTCTAACGCCCCGTTGTTGCATCACATTGAACGATTCCCTGGAAATGCTTTCTGACAGCAATGGCCTAACTTTGACCTGTCATAAGCCAGGAACGTTGTAATGTTCATCTAATTTTTAACATCAAAAGATCCGCTACTTAATTATCTACAGCTATGCAAAGTTTGGCGCGGCTACACCGCGCCGTTCGGAAATCGTTCTGGAAAAACCTCCGGGGAGGTCAATTTGACCCCCACCCGAGCGCGTTTTAAAAGTCACGGTTTGGCCTGTCACTTCGCTGGTGAGCCGCTTCTATGCCTTCTGTGTTTCGTGTGCATCTGTAGTGCACGTAAATTGGTGGCGCGTCAGTGCCGGAGTCACATATCCATAGCATGATTCGTTCTGGCATTTGCCGTGTATCACTGCGCTTTGACTTACCTTATGACCACATACCTTATGCACTGCGGTAATCAGAGTACAATACGCAAATGTACAATCAATACAATACAATATATACAATATATACAATATACAATCTGCATAGCTTGTTTTGTGCCGTAGGTATGCGAATTTGGACATAATGTGCTTGGATTTGTGCTGCGAATTTTCCGGAGCGATTGCGTGCTGCTTAGTGGTCGCTGAAGCCGTGACGTAAAGAAGTGTTCCACGTTTGAAGACATTGCAGCAATCATCATGTATTATGAAAGAAGGTCACTTATAATTATAGATATACTTTTAAGTGGAAAAGACTTCTGTGAACAACACAATCTCTTTAGTAAACATGCTCCCCAATACTTCGTTACTTGATTGCTTTATCGAACGTTTCTATGACGTCAGAGATGCTGGATGCCAAACTGGCCGAGCGAAATTGCTACACTAGCTCTCATTATCAACCCCCCAAGAGATGGTCGTAGCGGTGCTGGACGTGTTCGCTGAAGTAAATGCCACTATGGGCTCGTGTTTTTGCCCTTTATCGTGACCATGCAGTGATCAAATCCAATAGATATCTAATTGGCAAGTCGCTCACATCTGGCGTTCGTTAGCACGATTTCCAGATATAACGACCGTCAAGTGGCTCTCAATCAATGTCATACAAGCTACGATGGCGTAATCAAACAATGAAGCACAGGAGAGCATATTTAGGGCACAGATAAGTATCATCTACAGCAGTATTTTTTACTTACAAGCATACGAACAGTTATAGGTGAGCTTATTTCATCATATCTGGTACGTGCTTCAACGTCGTCAAATGTGTAACATTACCTCTAAAGTATTCGATTACACACCCCATTTCCGTAATACCAACAGCCGTGTCCAGCTTTTTATCTTATGCAGCACACTTTATGATTCGGCATTTAAACTTGCACAGTTTGCTCTCCTTTGACTGCGCTCCAATTGACGTCCAATGTATCCGGAAATCGTTCTCACGAACGCCTGACTTGAATGGCTTGATGGTTATATTCTTGTCGTCCTTGAGCGCTGCATGGCCAATGGGGCGGCAGTAAATCAATGACGTTTTGCATGCATGAGTGACATTGAAATAGTCTGCGCATTTTCGCGGGCGTGTAGCTCAGAAACTAGAGGGTTTCAAGTCTTATGTCATGAGACACATACATGTATATGACAATAGGTATGACAAGTCTTATGTGAACTGCATGCAATGATCTTCAAGATGGTTGCTTCATTTTAGACCCCTATACAAATGTGGTGCATGAAGTGGTTGAAATCACCGTTGAACCATCAAAAAAGTCCTGGTATGTGTACAATTCATATAGAGAAGAGCATAAAGACGCGTCACTAAACCGCGACGACGCGCTTTAGTGACGTCACTAAATCTGGGTGCTGGCCATAAGCCTGCTCTCGGGGCACTGGTGTGGTATCAGCCATCTAGCAGCCAAATTCATGGGATCGAATCTCATGGGATCCAAACCAACTATAGCGGGAGGGGGAGGGGGAGAAGGGGCTACTGGTAGGGGTACGGCTACGGAGAAACATGGGCCCGGCGGAAACAAAACGAGTCCGAGTTCAGGGGTGCATGTGCAGAGTTTTCCCCGGGGCACGTGCCCGTACTTATATCAGTGGATACATAACAGAAATTATAGCGAGGACGCGTCATTAGGCGCCATGCAACAAATTTGGCGAGCCGGTCCCGCTGCCCTCACGTTAAATGAGTCTCCATCCGAGTCACAGGGGATCCGAATACGAAAACACTCGGTCCGCCCTCATTATGGCTGTGCGAGATCGGATGTGATAAAGACAATGCCGCATCACACTCGGAATTGAAATGGGGACGATTAAACGCCACGGGGGTCCACTGCCGCATTTTGTATCGTTATTACACCAGATACTTATTCAGATACAGATACCACGACGGCCTTTGCTTCGTAACAGGGCATCCTTCGGAATCTAGCAGGAATTCTCCTTCCTACCAGGGCATCCTTCGGAATCTAGCAGGAATTCTCCTTCCTACTAGGGCATCCTCCGGAATCTAGCAGGAATTATTCTCAACTGGAACGTGACTTCGCGTTGACCGGGGCTCAGACTATCCAAATGATCTGTATGACCAAGCCGTCCAGGATCCGACTGACGTCACGGTCCGCATTACACCAGACAGGCGTCGGCTAGGAGCAGGCGTCGGCTAGGAGCATGCGTCGGTTACGAGGGGGAGTTGGCTAGGAGCAGGCGTCGGCTAGGAGCATGCGTCGGTTACGAGGGGGAGTTGGCTAGGAGCAGGCGTCGGCTAGCAGCAGGCGTCGGTTCGGAGGGGGAGTTGGCTAGGAGCAGGCGTCGGCTAGCAGCAGGCGTCGGTTAGGAGGGGGAATTGGCTAGGAGCAGGCGTCGGCTAGGAGCAGGCGTCGGCTAGGAGAAGGCGTTGGCTAGGAGCATTCGTCGGCTAGAAGCATGCGGCGGCTAGGAGCAGGCGTCGGCTAGGAGCAGGCGTTGACTAGGAGCATGTGTCGGTTAGGAGTAGGCGTCGGCTAGGAGCATGCGTCGGCTAGGAGCAGGCGTCGGCTAGGAGCATGCGTCGTCGGCTAGGAGCATGCGTTGTCGGCTAGGAGCATGCATCGGCTAGAAGCATGCGTCGTCGGCTAGGAGCATTAAGTCCGTTAGAAGCAGGCGTCGGCTAGAAGCCATGAGTCGGCTGGAAGCATTGAGCTCTTACTCATTTCGGTTGTAGTCATGTGCCTGATTAAGAGGTTTATGCGTTATAGGGTCGTTCATATGTCTGTTAAGAGCTTCGGACGTGCATAACCTTCCAGTTCGGGTTCCATTCACGTCCATTTGCGCTTAATTCCTGTATAGCACGGAAATCAGGGGGGTGGACCATGGGCCAAGATCCTCCCGTCACCATCTGTGAAGTTAGCATTACCTAATTTGTTGAGCGCATTTCCGAAAAGCATTATACATATAGATGAGAGAGCATTGTTAGCTTATTGCTCGCAGCATAACCAGTAGAAAGTGGAGATAGAAGCATTTATCTTTTAGCTAAACGCTTTTATCGCAACGAGTATCAAATCACCGGAGCATGATACATTCAATTCCATCACTGATGTTTGTTTCGATAAAGGGATGCAGCCGAAATATGAACACATTTTTCTATCCTTTCTCCTATTCTGCTATTATGCGAGGAATAAGCCCAATAGAACTGTCTTATCTAGATTTAGCATTAACGCTCTGAACGTTGACGGGAAAGAAATAGCAAAAAATTGTTTTCAACCCTCCCATCTTGGGAGAACTTACCCGGCCCGAGTCCGACAGAGTAATTCACGTCTGTTGGTGGGGCATACTTACCCTCATTCTCCTATAGGTGAATGAATTCACTTGAGGCCAAGTTTCCAATGGTTATGAGTCCACAACCGATTTCGTGTCGGGCGGGAAAAGGACGCATGTCTGGTTTCACACGCGTATAACTTCCAACAGTGCTTTTTTTCTCAAAACCCGCAACTATCGCCTCAAAGCAACACGACCCTGTCGTATAACGCCTGATCGAGACAGTTGAGTTGGCCTTTGCGCATAGTTTACCGATGTCCGCACGTTAGTGTTCTAGAACACTACTTTTAGAAAGATGGGTGGTCAGGGCTTGTCTGGTTGTCCGGTTTAAAGGGAATGTTTCACATTTGAAGATGTTGAAATGGGGATCAGATGTGATGAAAATGCTCACTTATAATTGTCATACTTTTAAGCAGAAAAGACTGTTCTACACAACACAATTTGTTTAAGTGAATGTGTTCTTAGATACGTTATTGTCTAATTATGTCATCGTATCTTGCGCAGCATTCATTGGAGCCAATCAACAGCCGTGTTATCTGGAAGCAGTGCGCACGAACGCCAGATATGAATGACGCGATCACTATAATTGTCTTGGCCTTGATAACCGCATGACTTATTTCCTAGCACGATTTGAACGGCGTTATGTTGACGTCATGAATGCCAGGGTGCCCCTCAAATGCGTTGCCAAATTACTGTTCAACATCTTTGCGGCCTTTAAGCTCATGAACCTGAGGGCTTTAGGCCTGGAAAAGGGTGTGACCATGAGCTGCATCGAAGGGTGTTTAATATAGATATTTCAGCTCAAAATCCTATACAAATGTGGGACACTCACTATGTGGTGAGTTCAGTGATGTCATTTTTGTCAACATTCATTTTTGTCAACATTTTGTCAACATTGCTTAGGGGATGTGAAAAGGGCTTTGAAGTACGGTAGCTTATGCTGTTTTGGCTTTAAGGGGGAACAGCGTAACGTTATAAAAATGAAAAAAATCGACTTCAACGCTTGAAACAAAGCCCTTAGCATTCTTTTGTCATGCTGATTGCATATGTTTGGCCTTCACATCCAACTGGTGCGTCACTTGAGCAAAGGGCAATGTGAACAAGATAGCAGGGAGGATCCAGTATTGTGTATGCTGCAAATATTTTAAAATACGTCGAAATGGGTACCAGAAGAGTCCTCTCTTGGACAGTGCTTCGATGGTGTGTGTGTGTGCGTGTGTGTGTGTGTGTGTGTGTGTGTGTGTGTGTGTGTGTGTGTGTGTGTGTGTGTGTGTGTGTGTGTGTGTGTGTGTGTGTGTGTGTGTGTGTGTGTGTGTGTGTGTGTGTGTGCGTTTGTGTTTGTGTGTGTGTGTGTGTGTGTGTGTGTGTGTGTGTGTGTGTGGTGTGTGTGTGTGTGTGTGTGTGTGTGTGTGTGTGTGTGTGTGTGTGTGTATGTGTGTGTGTGTGTGGTGTGTGTGTGTGTGTGTGTGTGTGTGTGTGTGTGTGTGTGTGTGTGTGTGTGTGTGTGTGTGTGTGTGTGTGTGTGTGTGTGTGTGTGTGTATGTGTGGGTGTGTGCGTAAATGCAATGTGAACCGATTTGATTCCTCTTTAACACAATCTTACATCATTTGGGCCGTTCACTCCTCTGTTTGATCTGGACCAAATAAACAGAAAATCGCAAGTCATATCCATTCTATTGAACACTTTCGAAGACTCTTACCTTTTTTAGGGGCATGACACTCGTGAGCGGAACACTAGGGCGCGGTATTGTTCTCGGCCAGGGGCTAAAGGGCGGTTCCGTCCCAGCGCAGCGTACGAACCCGCTGTCATTTCCTCCATGAACTGGTCCCCTCCCCGACGCGGGATGTCCTTTGACTCGGGTAGTTGTTCCCAGATCAAGGCAGAAGTCCCCATGAACGCAACAAGATTCCCTATCACCACTTGTGGTCGAGCAATGGACACAGAGACGCTAGTTCGCCTGAACGAGCCCTTAACTAAAACGCTGTAGAGGGCCCATTTCCGCACTGGGGCCTTGACTGACACAGGTCCCTTCCATTGTAGCATTGTGGACTCTCATCGCATGTCCTCATACATCTTTTCATTCTCAAAGTACCCCGACCAATGCGAGAGGCCCCCCATTCGGGGCCCAGTTCCTTCCCTGTTCAGTAAATGTTTCCTGTGGCCGTCCTGAGACCCCTAGCCGACACGGGGCCACCCGTTAGGCGCTGTGGACCCTGACTGACAAAGGGGTCCCTCATTGTTGCAGCGGCCGTGAGTAATGCAAATTGCGGGCCCTGGCCTCGTCCTCTTTCGAGAAGCGGGCCGCAGGGCTTCCGACGTACACGGAGCCGACTGTCCGGTGTTGGTCGTTTTTGGTCAAAATAGGGACCCGCGTTGTCCTAGGGTCTTTTATCGTTGTAAAAGCCCTCTGACTGACGTTTGAGGTCGCGGCACCACAGACGGGGTCCTTGATGTAAGCTACAGCCAGATTTTTGGGCCCTTAGGGTCCTTCTGCCTTCCAATCGAGCCCTTAATTTTGGCGCCGGGAGGCACTTCAGGCCCGTCTTCGGGCTCCCTTCGGCCCCTTCGAATACGGCCTCTGATCGACTCAGGGATACTTTCCGCCACGGGTTCCCCTGGTAGGCACTGTTGATCTCTGGTCGACACAGGGGCCATTGATTGTTTCAGGGGCCCCGACCAAGGTAAATCGCGGACCCCGACCTCGTTCCCGCTCGGAAAATGGGTCCCAGAGCTTAAACCGAAACAGAACCAGCTGTCCGGTGTTCGTCGTCTCTGGCCGTAATAGAGCCCAGCATTGTCCAAGAGTCTCAGTCGGCACAAGAGACCCTCTGAGCGACATTTGAGGCCACGGCCCTACTGGACGCTATCCTTAATGTGACTTACATCCAGCCCTTCGGACCCTTGAGTCTTCCATCTGGGCCCTTGATCGTCGGTCCCGAAGGGCCCCTTGGCTTCTCTTTGGACCCCTTGAACACTGTGCCTGGTAGACTTGGAACCCTTGCCAACACAGAACCCCTAGTTAGGCTTTGTGAACTTCTGCTGGATGCAGGGGGCCTCTCATTAACTCAAGGGCCCCGACCCATGTAAATAACTGACCCCGGCCCAGGCCCTGCTTGGGCAATGGACCCTCAGACCTAAACCAACACGGGGCCGGCTGTCTGGTTCTAGTGGTGCCTGACAAACGTATACGCTCTCATTGATCCAGAGGGCTCAGTCGCCGGAAGGGGTCGCCCGACTGGCTTTTGAGGGCCCATCCCGCAGGGCTTGCACCCCTTATACGATCTCCAATTAGACCTTGTGGCCTTCAAATCAGGTCCTAAGGAGGGCCGTGCCCCCGTGCTCCCCGCCGCCTGGACGGGGGACGCGCCTCTGCGTAGTACACACTGCCACTGCGCGGCGCAGTGGACTGTGCCCATGAACGATGTCCCGCACGCTCCCTCTCTGCGCGGTATGCGAAAGGCCTCGTACCGTGGCATGCCGAGCACCCTGTCTACGACCTGTGGTATACGTCACCTCCAGTTGCTAGTGCAAGGTGTAGTGGTATCGTTTATGCCTAACACGCGCTCGGGTGGGGATCAAATTGCTCCCCCCCCCGAAAGTTTTCCGGAATGGTTTCTGAACGGCGTGGCGTAGCCGCGCCAAATTTCGGATACCTGTAGACAATTGAATAGAAAATCGTTTGGCAACAACATTTTAGATATACCTTGTAAGGTCGCTGACCTGTGGAAGGTCAAGATCAGGTCATGGTTTCAGCGAAGACAATTTCTAGGGAATCGTTTAATCTCACCCAACAACGGAGTGTTAGACGAAGCCGTGCGTTTCTGAAACACTTTCTGAGGCAATACAACCATTGCATGAAAAAATGGCATTGGCCTAGGGTCAGGTATGAAGATCAGACCAAGGTCAAAACCAACCTGTTATATTACTCTAGGTCTTGTTGTATGGGGTAGCTTCTGGTGCTCATTTCGGGCCCATTTTCCACAAGGTCTGGTATGCGTCACCCCTAGCTGCTAGTGCAAGGTGTAGTGGTATCGTCTATGCTGAAATTGTCCCCGCGTGATAAGCAGGGTGTTGCGTGCATGATCGCTGAACTCGTTCGCTGTGCCACGCTAAGCGTTGTGACTGCGTGACGCGGTGAACGCCATGCGCTTGGTGCCCTGAATGTTATCCTGCATAGCGCACTGAACGTTACCCTGTGGAAAACACCAAACGTTGCCGTTCGTGATATATTGAACGTTATCCTGCACAGTGCACTGAACGCTGTCCCGTGGGGTACACTGGACGTTACCCTGTGTATCACACTGAGCGTTGTCCTTGTGAGTGCACCCAGCGCTGTCCCCGCTGCCAGGAGACAAACGGCTGGACGCCTCGTTGTGCCGACAGAACCTTGCACGTGCAGCATCTGCGGCCGCACCTACTCCAGCCGGAGCTCGCTGCTACACCACCGCAAGGTGCACCAAGGTGCCACGCGCTGCTCTCTGTGCGGTCTGGTGGCCAGCAAGGTGGCCGGGCTGCGCACGCACCTGAGGCGGATCCACAACCTCTCCGCGGAGGAGATGATGCGTCTGGTCCCCACCCGGCGCCGCTACCACTACTGACGGACACGAGCCGCTACCACTACTGACGGATGCGGGCCGCTGCCACTGCTGACGTATATAGGATGCCACCACAGCTTACCGATTCAGGCCGCTACCACTACTGACGGATACGGGCCGCTGCCACTACTGACGGATACGGGCCGCTACCTCTTCTGACAGATACGGACCGCTACCACTACTGATGGATGCGGGTCGCTGCCACTACTGACGGATACGGGCTGCTACCACTACTGACGGATACGGGCCGCTACCACTACTGACGGATACGGGTCGCTGCCACTGCTGGCGTATATAGGATGCGACCACAGCTGACCGATTCAGGCTGCTACCACACCTGGCTGATACAGGCCGCTACCACAACTGACTGACAAACCGCTACCACTACTGACTGATGCAGGCCGCTACTTCTAATGACTGATACGGGCCACTACCAATACTTGCTGATAGAAGTCGCTGCTACTTCTGACTGATACAGGACACTGCCACAGCTGACTGATGTAAGTCGCTACCACAGCTGACTGGATGCAAGCCACTACCACTGCTGAATGATACAGACTGCCACCACTACTGACTGATACAGGTCGCTACCACTACTGACTGATACGGGTCACTACAACCACTGACTGATACAGGCTGCTACCACTACTGACTGAAACAGGCCGCCACCACTACTGACTTACGCAGGTCACTACCACCGCGGAGTGATACAGGCAGCTACCACTATGTACCGGTATGGGACGCTACCACTGCTGACTGATATAGGACGCTACCACTGCTGGCTGGTACAGGTCACTACCACTTCTGAATGAAATAGGCCACTATCACTACTGACTGATATAGGACGCTACCACAGCTGGCTGACACGGGCCGCTACCACTACTGACTGATATAGGACGCTACCACTACTGATTACCGTCAGCTGGCCTGATGGCAGCTGCCGCCGGCGCTAGCTGAAAGTGCAGGGGAAGCATAGCTATGGAATGGTACCAGTGCTGAACGTGGCGTCACCTGCGTCAACTCGAGGTGGCGGATGTCGTCAGTGATGCCGACTGCGCGGCCACGAGGTGCGCGGTGCTGTGCGTGACGTCACAGGGGTGGCGTCACAAGGACGCGCGTTGCGGGGGGGGGGGGGGCGCTGGAGGCCTTCACAGGTTGAGAATGTCCATGTATATCCGTAAAAATGGTTATGGGCTGGGTTGGGTACGGATTTAGGGCACGTGAAAAATATGGTACGGATATAGGCAAGATCTCCCGAAACTTGGGATACAATAAAATGAATATGGATCAGTGCCGCGGTCTTGGCTTCCTTTTGTAGTAGTTACCTTATTCCACGTCACTTTTGAAATTTTCAAACAGTAAGCTGCGATGTCAACTTCCAAAAAGCTTTCACACTTCAAGCTGGAACGCTGGAACAATACAAACGGGGGGGGGGGGGGGGGTATAGCCAGTAAAGAATCGGCAGTGGGTGGTTACGGGTACTGCGCCATCGGTGGCGAATGGGTAGGGTAAAGGCCATCTAGCTCGTGAAGGTCTCAAGTGGTGCGACCTGTACGAACGGAGTGCGTAAGGGTGTTTTAAACCTGTGCTGGCGTGAGGTACCGGCCACTGCACGTACGTCGCAAGAACTGGCGGGAGGTGCCAGGGTAGCACCACCTTATGCTTATAAGAGAATGCTCCACATTTGAAGGCATTGAAGCAAGCATGATATGCGATCAAATAAGCTCGCTTACAACTATCGGTGCACTTTGAAGTGGAAAAGACTGCTCTAGGCAACACAATTCTCTACTTAGTAAATATGCTCATCAATACGTCATTTTTCGATTGCGTCATCGCACCTTGCACAACATTGATTGAGAATCGATTGACGGCCGTTACATCGCGAGTCGTACTTGCGAACGCCAGATATGAATGACTGGACAATTGTATTTGCCTTTTCCTTGTCGCCGCATGACCAATGGAATGCCAGGATCTGAATCATGTTATGGTGTTATGGATGCCTGGGTGGCCTTGAAATAGTTTGCACATGTTCGAGGGCGTGCAGCTCAGGAACTACACTGTTTTAACGCTAAAACATTCCAGCCCCAAAGCTAGAATGTTCGCAACCCTACCTTTCTGAAGAAGGGCAGGGCTGTGAACTGCACCGAGTTATCTTCGAGATGGCTATTTCAGTTCGAAATTCCATGCAGATGTGGGACTGCAAGAAGCCGGTGCAGCGTGCCTTTAAATTAAGATGCCTTTGCATTAAGCCCATGCTGCCTGTGCTGATGTGACAATCTCGACTGACGAGACATGCTATCGGCGACATGAATTTCTCCTGCGACCGGGGTGCCCAGAATAAAGACATCTAGATAGTGTCATTCGTATGTGTCTCTGTCGCTAATTAAGTCAGATGACGAGAATGATGATTTCAAATACACAGATTCGGCAGAAAATCTGCAGTAGTACTAGGCGATGCGTCAACACGACGTTATGGACAACTGTGACAATACACAACATGTAAGTGATTCAAATACATGAAATTTGACCACTCTACGCTGATATTCCTACATCGACACAGGGCATCCTGCTGTTTTCATGAAGAATTGTCAAGACTTTCAGTTGGTGCAAGGGATGCCAGACTCACCATTACAAAGAAGTCGTCGCTTAAGGACCGTGGGCCAGTATTAGTGTAAATGCAGCGTGAAAACTTCAGTGTAAAAGACATCACAAAATGTCGTGTTTCTAAGAAAAATCATTTTCTGGACATCAACCAAAGTTAGGCTGCAAATGAATGTCGTTCACAGTGAGTCCCGGTTCGCTGAAACAGACGAATTCAGTCAGAACTGGTTCGTGATGTACACATCGTGTGACGTAGTTTTGAGAATGCGTGTCCGCAACTCTTAGTCACAAAAACCTCGATGGCAGGTGTAGTCTCCGTAGACCTCGTAGCGTCGGCCCCGCGGCTAACACTAAGCCCCGGCCAACGGGTGAACGAAATAATGACGCATTTGAAAAAGTACCTTTGCACGCTTTAGGACATCACACCGTGCATTTAAAAGGTAGCCTGGCGTACATTTCGCGTGCGCGATTTTTAGATTGATGAAATGAGCTGACAGGCCTTTATAGCACCGCGTAGTGGTGCTATAATCTTGTGGCAAAACTAAATGAGAAAAGGAAGAATATTTATTTTCGCGTTGCTGTAGCTGTTAATCTGTCCAGAAGACAACCTCAAAATTGTGAAAGGTACGTCCAGCCTATCCTTCGAACGGTACGAATTGATTTTGTGCTACATTCGGAAGCATCGTTCCGTGACGATCGCTCTCGCGCGCACGGCACCCGCCACCTAGTGTTGGTTGCAGAGGCCAACACCGTTTGGCTTTACGGGAGCTGCAACTCGGGCCATCGCTCTCCTTACTTTGGCGAAAACCGGCGTGCAAGCTTAATCATTTGGATAATTTGTTTCACTAGTCGATTCTGCGAAAGCATAGACGTTTACAGGCAAACAATGAATAACGTCGTTCGTTCTTGGTAACCTAGTTCAACACTAATGGTACTCCCTATTTCTCTCCGGGAAAGGGGCCCTGCAATAGAACAATAGGGGCACATACTGTTCCCGGTCAAGGGATGAAGGGCCATTCCGTTCCCACGCGTGTTGTCTTCCGGCTGCCATTCTGGCGGCCCGGAACAATATCCCTCAGTTGATTCGGAGCCCGTGTCAATGGTTGTCCGCATTCCAAAATGTCGTGCCTCAACAAAGAAATAAATTGGGGGGGGGGGGGGGAGGGCATGCCGGCCCAGTTGGAGGAGGTCGCTGCTGTTGGTTGTTGATGGACGCAGGGCTGCAGGTAGGTTATATCATGGGGTGCTTACTGTCACGTAATGATTCCGAGCATAGGACAACTTCAAAGGATTTGCGAATAATGCATGGCCGGTGCTATGCGGGCTCCATTGAAATACAAATGCATCATTATGCAGACGTACCAGCATTTTCGGGATTTATTTCCTTTCCGAACGTTGGTTTGTCTAACGCGCCCGGTTTACCTCAGTTTGTGTAATTCAGGCCGCGGTGTAATGAAATTATTTTTCACTTGAGTAGGTGGGTGATGTCACCATTTAAGAGTGACAAAATTACATGATTGCTGATATGTTTGACGCAAAAAATAGATTGGAGCATACAGCATGTTACTACCTACTCAATGTCCCCCCCCCCCTCCCATTCCTTCCTCCTTTTAAGCCCCCCACCCCCACCCCAACACGTCCTGCCCGGCTGGTATCTTGTCCAAATGCAAACATTTTCTGGTTCAAGACTTTTCACTGTCCACTGAATATCATATGTTCATAGTGTGATAGTTACTTGTGGTCGTTAACCAATGTTTTTTCATTTAAATGGGTAGAAAAAACATCTTAGGTGCTACATGACCTATAGGTTCTTTCTCAGCCGAGCTGTAAAGAGTACACCATACACAGACGAAACTACGTTGCCAAGATCTCAACTCAGCAGACGTTGAAGACGCCAGTTTTTACAGCTTAGTGTGGCATTCAAGAGAACGTGGTCTGCCAACAAGTTTTCTTATTCAAGATACGTAGAACGAGTTAGCGTGCCCGCCCCCTGTGTACCCCTCCCACTTCCCCTGCACTGCTGACTTCAACTCCCCGAAAGCATAACGTTGCAGGAGGATAGGATAGCCAGTGGCGGCGCTGAAAGTTTTTTACTGCGTTAAAGTTTACTGCGTTCAAGTTTTACTGTTTTACTGTTACTGTTTTACTGCGTTAAAGTTAACTGCGCCAAACATCATTATGTGCTCTTGTTTTAACCCTTACGCGTGACGCTTTCGTATATTTATTCGTCAGTTTAAGACGTTTACTTGTATCTACATGCTCGGTTATGGCCGGTGTTTTTTTTCTGTGATAGCTAGCAACTCTGTCCAACTTCTTATGTTATGTGGCACAAAGCGGGATTCGGGACTGAACATCTCGATATTTGGGACTGAACATCTCGGGATTCGGGACTGAACATCTCG